TGCAAAAACTTGCTCTTTGGAAACCATCACTACAGCATGTGCTTTTGGTTAAGCATTCCAGGGCTGAAACGCAACTCTGTGCTGAGATGCCGAGAAGATGAGGCAAAATCTTGGCCAAGGTCAAGCTCTGCTGATGGTTTGAGAGGGGGACAGCAGCCAACTGCTCTGCACTTGTGTAACATTTAAAAAAAGAAAAACTAACCCCAAGCCATCTTCTGTCCCTTTTTGGAGCCAACATTAGTCCTGCTCATTGCATCCAAGAACTCAGAGGAATTTGCATGTATGCTACTACAGCTCAGGCCTACCAAACCTCCAGGGCCCATACATACCTACTTTAATTTAAAAAAACTAAGCTAACTTGCTGGGACTCTAGTTGGCTCTATGGGATATGATGGAAGATGTCAGAATCTTAGATGAAGTTAGGGTTCATCCATCAGAGGCAGAGAAATATACTTTAACCTCCCTTTTGGCTATCTGGTTACTTTTTCTGGAACTAAACTGCAACAAAATGCAACAAAATGACCCTAATTTGATAGAAAATGGGGGCTCATGTCTGTATCTGGGTAACTATTATAAAAAGAGCTGCAAGCTTAGCGTATTTGGTCCAAATATGTGCTACACAAAGAAAAGCCAATACACCAACACCCTCTTTGGGACTGAGCGAAGCACAAAAAGGAACAGGGAAACATTTTTTGTCAGGTTATAGGGAACATATATAGATACACAGAAATGTCTTTCAGCAGTTTATAGAATATAAACTATATTTTATGCATGTCTGTCTTATAGATGCCAAAGGTAAGAGGGACAAAGTCCAAGGCCAGTCAGGGTTATACAAGATGCAGGCCCCAGAAACTTCCCAGTCTCCCTGTGAGGTGATCATGTTTTAGGACTTACGGATGGGTAACAATGTGTTAACACTGGATCCCTCAAATTTTCTTAGGCAGTCATGACAACATAAAAAAAGAGAGAATATTTTTAACTCATTGGTTTAATGTTTTCCTTTTAAAGTACCTAATTCTATTCAGTCCTCTATAGTATAGTCTTAATTTCTCCTATCCTTAAAATGAGAAACACTCATTCCTTTTTTCTCATTATCTTCCCATCTACAATACTTGGCAAACTTGCCTCATTTCCATTTTGTGCTTATCTCTTGTTAAACCTTACAGCACAAGCAATGAAACTGAAGATACAAATTTCTCTTCCTTCTTTATTGCTGAATAGTGAACTGTGAGTTCCTAAGGCCACAGACAGCACATCTCTGGTGAGAAGTATATTTTGACCTCAGGTGGAACACCAGATGGAGGAACCAGGCTTCTCTCTAGTCAATGAGGCCAGGAGGACATGGTGTGGCATCCTGCTTCCCTCATTCCCCCCCTTTCCGTGCATAGTCTCCACTCCCAGAGCTGGGGGCGGGATGAGGGTGTGCAACGATGAAGCAGAAGGTACACGGCTTCCAAGGGAAAGTGCCACATAAGAAACAGTGGGATGTATTGCCGAACGCTACAGCTAGGAGGGTCCTTACAGCACATCTAATCTTAACTTCTAACTTTATTGGTAAAGAAAGGAGCCCAGAAAAGTTAAGTGATTAGTCCAAAGATACACAGGTAATGGCCAGAACCAAAACCTAGGTCACCAGCCTGTTCCTCTGATCCTTTAACACACAATAGAACTGAGTACAGGGAAAAGCAAAATAGAACGTTAAGTCCATGGGCTACAACCCCATCAACCCATGAACCAAATAAACATATCTCTTTTAAAACTACCCATATCTTAATCTCCCATTTCTTTTCAGCTGTTAGCTTACTAAGCTCAAATGTTTGGTTCTTATCCAGGACTTAATGGATACACTGGTGGCCTGGAGAGTCAGAATCCCAACTCTGCCCCAGCATGTTGAAGCCTGAAAAGGGAGATCTTTGGGAAGCAGGAGTAGAGTAAAAGTAGCCTCTCCAACTCAGGAATATTCTGGACCACACATCATGCTTATATTAATGCTGACTCCAAACTCAGCAGCTTTTGGAGCTTATGTAGGCAGAAAAGGCAACAGACTACCCACTTAGCAAGAGGAAAATGCAAGAATTAATAACAAATAAGGAAGCTAGAAGGAGGGTAAATGCTTTGGATTCAGTCTGGAAGGCAGGGAAATTACTTCCATTCAGAGCAGAAAATGACCTTGTAAGGCAGTGTATACTACATTTGAAGAGGATGCAACCCAGGATGTGTGAACCAGGTCCTTTGATATTCCCTATTCCTGTGCAAAGGAAGTCAATTCCTGATTATCCCTCAAATGATTACCCATTTGGTCTAGTTACCCACAGTATCTAGGGACCTCCAACAAGAGTGGGCCATATAGACAGACCTCGTTAGATGGAAATACTAGTCTAATGTACTTCCCACTTTCCCAGATAACATGCTGGTATTCAAGCGAGGGTCTTGGTGCCTCAAGCAAAAGGCGGTGTGTGTGTGTGTGTGTGTGTGTGTGACTAAAACATCTCCTAGCAGGCTGGTAGGATAGGTAATTGGAACAAGCAAGCTACCCAGCTGCATGTAAGCCCCAGACCATCACTGGACATGAAACTGTTCTAGGACTGGGGACAAGAAGAAGGTATAAGGCTTCAGCATGAGGAGGTAACTTGGTGAATAGTTAAAGTATATCACTGAATTCCAAAGCAAAAGTATTCTGGGGACTACGTATTATATTTACATTATTCAGATCAAGAGTTCATCACAGCAATGTCATTCTTACACCCTCTTTCAGCTTATCTCATCCAAGAAAAACTGATTCCCACTGTATTCCTGAAAGATCAGGCATTCTAAAAATGTCCACTTAGCAACAGAAAAGAAAAAAGATCAAAAAGAAGGACTCTTTTAAAATATGTAATAATTAGTAAACTAGCAAACCAAAAAACTATCTTCTTTAACAGTAAAAAGTGATAGCATGATGATGAGACATGATGAAGGAAAAAAAAAAAAGAAGGAAACGATCAACGAATGAATGAAAAACTCAGAGAGGTAAGGTAAACTGAGAATTCAGACTATAGTCAAATGTTAGGGCCCCACACTAACAGGTAGGAAAGGAAGCTGAATAAAAGCTCTTTCTGCCTGCTGGGCTCCTAAGAGTCTAAAATGAGGGATTAAAATGGCTTTATTTCAACAGAACACATTTTGTCATCTGATCTCCATCCGTGACATGGATAAGAATAAGTAACTTATGGCTGCACTCTTAAAAAGCAACAAATCCCTGAACATTGTGCCTTGTTCACTTTAGGATGGCAAATCACTGCTGTGTATCATACACACAAAAAAGACCTGTCTGTAACTTTTATTTTAAGTTTTTATTTTAAAATAGTGTTTCCAAAAAACACTGACTACAAGGGGAAATGAGTCAATAAAGGATGGGAGATAAAGGGGAAGCAGAGAGAAGACTAAGCATAGAAACACAATGATCCGGGTACATTCAGAGGCCCTTGCCATGACCCTGTCCTCTCACTACTGTTCACATGGAGGCTCAGTAAATGTACCGGGACACGAGCTAAAGGGTTAGAGAGAAGCATTCCCTTGATATATGCTCCTAAAAGGTGATATCAATTGGTAATCACTCCAGAAATGTGAGACCCCTCTGCTCCATCCAATTGCTAGAATTCTATCCTAAGTAAATTATCAAAGATATAGTCAAAGATTTATACAAAAGACAGTTCAACACAGTATCACTGACATTAACAAAAGATCTGAAATAACCAAAATTTCAACAGTGTGGGAATGGACAACTGAAGTATGGAAGAGTCACTAGGAATCTACTTTCAAAGATGAGGGGCACAGGAAATTAATTATTTGTGGTACCACGTTAAGTGAGGGGTAAAAAATAGGATGTCACAGTCTATATATACATGACTCTGAATTCTGTTTGTATTTCATGCATTTTTAAATAGTGAAGGAAATTTGTGGACATCCCAGCAAAGTTTAACTCTTTTCTAGATGGAGGGAAGATGGATGATTTTCTACTCCTTCTTTAGACTCATTTCTGATGAACATACACTGCAATAAATACTTCTTTTATAATATGCCTGCCCTAAAATATCTCATTCGAGGTCACCACTGTCAGTCTTCGGGAAAGGGTGCTAAGGGCTGACTCAAGAGAATGAAGAGTCAAATCCACACAGTAACTTCTGAGAAGGGTGAGAAATCTTGTGTGCCAGTCTAGCCTCCTTTTCTATGGTGGCTGTTGGCTCTGGGCTTTGCCCACAGCTCTGCTGGAAAATCCATTCCTTCTTCCCACAGCAACTACTGCACCTAAATAACCTCATGTTTCTCCCCTCTTAGCATGAGGATCACAAGGAAGGAAAATGAAAGCACCCTACTCCTTGTTTCAGAGGAAGTTTCTCTGGTAAGCCTATCCAAATGGCCCCAAATCAGCTACACAGATTTGGAAACATAAGTCATCAGTTATGTTCAGGAACCATATATAAAAGCCCTATTTCTCAAGACTGACTATAAAACAGAATCTGTGAGTGCCACCTTGTGGCAAGCCTGACCACTCTTAACGACCACCCGTCACACCCCATGGTTCACCCCTGGACTCCGGAGCATGGGGTCCAGCCACTGAGCACATGGCCCACAATGACCTACCCCACTGAACATACGGACCTGGAAGAGGCTGGTATTGTTCATCTTCAAGGATCTCTAGTTCAGAGCCCAGAAATGCCTGTTTGGGGGCAAGAGGGCACGAAGCGGCGGACAAACAAAACGCACACCCGTTTGCGGACGCTTCGCTGATGGGCTGAAGCTGCGCTGTGCATGGTACGTCGTGGCGCACGCCGTGCGTGGTACGTCCGTGTGCGTGGCACGTCCATATGCACGCTGCGCGTGGTGTATGTGTGCGTGTCATGCTTCTGCCTCACGGCAGGGACGCCAGGGGAGAATATCTCGTCCCCCAAGAATATTTACTGATTTTACAAAGCTGAGAAGAAAAAAAGTTTTACATTTACAGTCAGTGAGCTTTGTGCTTCAAAGTTTTATTTATCAGTGTTACAGCAACCATCACCAACTTGGGCACAATTTCAAAACAGCTCCTGTTGGATTCTGGCCATAAAATCACTAAGTTTGTTACGATCTTGTCAAGTAAAAAAACTCTCCTCATACTTTAGAAAAACTGCTAATCACTAATAATTTATGCTCAAAGTGGTGGCTTCACGCAAAGAGATGAAACACCACTGTTCTGAACATCTAAGTATATGAATTAATCTCAGAGTCCCACACACGAGAGCGGGTGGAGAAATCCTCGCAACGCAACCCGACCAAAGGACTCCAAGAGAGAATTAAGTGTTGAAAAGAGGTCAGTATTACAAATCGGAAGGAACACAGAACACGGAAGGGACGTGACACTGATTCTGAGAGTAGAGAATCTTCCTCTCAGAAGGAGATTCAGCTAGAAAACCTTGCAGTTCTGGACAGGAGGACTGCAATGAATAGACAACAAACAGCATGAAAGGGAAAGCGAAGCAAATATCAAAGTTCTCTTGAGAGATGATGCTTGTACCTCTTTCTGCCCCACCCAGTTAGAAGGCCTATTTCCAGAAAAGGATTTCCTCCAGTGTTAGGGTGGAAGCATATGGCAGGAAGTCGCTGCTTTGGTCCTGGCTGTGTAAAGGGGAGCATCCTCAAGTATGGAAATAAACCGAAGTGACCTAGATGGGATGGATCTTAACCAGGTGAGATGTGGGAGAGCATGAAGTTAAGGAATTTATAATTAGGAGCTTGAACTGGGGAAATGAATCTGACTCCTGTTCACCTCTCCAACCTCTGCAAGAATTTCTCCTGTCCTAACCCAATGGGATTAAAATACTTGACTGCCCCTGTTTGAGAAAAAACAACATACTGGGCAGGGAAGAAATGTATTAAAAACCTGAGCGTCTGGACAAGTCACTTCAGGGGAGAATCCTTCATCTGCTGTCTGCGCACAGGAAGCAAAAGAAGGAAAGTAAAATAAAGGCCAAGGCCCTTTTGTCCACAAAAAATAAGAGGGAAGCAAAAGGAATTCTCACTCTGCCCAAGTAAAATCCAAAACCGTAAGCTCCCCCTGAAGCAACAGCCCGCCTCCACCAGAAGCATCCTGGGATTGGCGTGGGTTAGCATTCCAAGTTGTGACACTAGGCTCTGACAATTAATGACACAGGAAGAGGTGACTTTCCCACCTTGGCTCAGCTTCCCAGCCATCCTGGGAGGAGAGCAGCTCTCACGACAGCTTGATGGGAAGGTCTTCCCCATATTTCCGGAGCAGCTTCTGATGGTTGTGGTCCACTGACCACTGCTGGGGCAGGTGCCTGGGCTGCATGGAGTCCAGGAAGTGCTGACGCCAGCGGCTCTCCAGCTGCATGAGGGAGCGCAGCCCGCCCTGGCTGTGGCACTGCACCACCTTCAGCCCATGAGGAATGTAGTTTTCGTTGGAAATCCTGGCAAGACACAAAGCACAAGGGTCTGAGGAAGACAAGCACAGGACGGTGTCACAGACGGCTCCAAATGCTGTGGGCCAGGGGGCTGCCACAATGGTAGATCAGGAGGTTGCTGGACTTCTAAAGGTTGATTACTTTAATGCTTTTTAAAAATTTTTATTTATTTATTTGAGAGAGAGCACGTGAGCACGAGCAGGGTGTGGGGTGGCAGAGGCAAAGGGAAAAGCAGATTCCCCGCTGATTGGGGCTCAATCCCAGGACCCTGGGGTCATAATATGAGACAGAGGCAGATGCTTAACTGAGCCACCCTGGCACCCCCTACTTTAATGTTTTTAAAGCATCTTTCCTACATCTGCCATTTTAAGAAGTCGTTTGGACATACTGCACACAATCTGACAGAAGGTATTTGGGGATTCTGAGCTATATTTGTGGGAGACCACTGCCGGAAGCTCAGCCCCCACTACAGGAGCCACACTGTCTGGCTGACAATGAGTGAAGAACGTTGGTCTTTTATTTACTCCGGGGTTACTCAGGTACCAGCTTGTCCTTCTCAACCATACTCAGTATTTATATGGGGCTGCTAAATCACCTTGCGTGTTCTTATGTTTCAAACGCTGGAATACCTACATGTAAAAATGCAAGGTGGGACATTTCTTTAGTGCCTCCTTTCTCACAGGAAGTGTGCTAAACCATACAGCATAGGCAGTAGTCAGTGGTGTTGAAGAGCATTCTACGGTGACAGATGGGAGCGCCACTTGTGGTGGGCATAGCATAACACATAAACTTGTCGAATCACTGTTGTACACCTGGAACTAATATAACACTGTGCATCATGTGTCACAATGTTGTGTCAGCTATGCTTCAACTTTTAAAAAATTGAAATTAAAAAAAGATGGGGGCACCTGGTGGACTCAGTCAGTAGGACATGTGACTCTTGATCACATGGTCATGAGATCGAGCTCCACGTTGGACCGAGAGATTACTTAAAAAAAATCAACAAAAATCTTGGGGCACGTGGCTGGCTCAGTCAGTAGAAATGCAGCTCTTAGTTTTGGGGTTGTAAGTTCAGACCCCATGTTGGGTGAAGAGATTACTCAAAGTCTTTAAAAAAAAAAAAAAAAAGCCAAACCATATCCACAAGAGATGTGTTTTGGTCCCATGGAAGTACTCAGTTGTGCAGCCGGTGCTGTTTAATGGGAAGATAAATCCTTGCCCTCTTCCTAACTAAGCAGAGAAGTCTTAAAAGTCCTCGGATGTCCTGCAAACAGTGCTTTCACCTCCTGTGAGTAACAACTACTTTTCCGGAGAAAGCCCCTACCCCATGGACTCAGTTCCCCTCCTTGCATTCATACCCCACTCTCATTCCTCCCTCCCAATACTCCCTCCCCCATTCCAGCAGTACCAGTGCCCTCCAGAAATCTGCAGCCACCTTACTGCTTAGCTGACAAGTATCCCTAACTTGCCTACCTTCCCCCAAACAGCTTCTTCTCAGCCCCAGACAGCTCAGTCCAGCATCCCTCTATCCTAGTCAACAAGGTGATTGGTTAGAAAGGTCTGTGACTGAAAGGGGAAGTTTAGTTGTGTTAGCAAATACATCTGGGAATTGGTCGGAGGAACCATTCTCATTAATTTCTCATTGGACCTTGGCAAGTTACTTAACTTCAACCTCAGGGTAGCTAACATAAAAAATAACATCTATGCTACAACCTCACAAAATAGTTAGGAAGAATCAAAATAGGACAAAACTCATTAGTACTGTTTTCTAACTTCGAAATATTTAACAAATGCAAGATATAATGCTAGCAGTTACCAGTAAGAAATCTAAATCCTATTTCAAAGGGTTGTTAGAAGAACCGATTAAGACAATTTATAGAAAGTTTATTAGCTTGGGTAAATAGAGCAGGATAACTTGGGACGCCTGGGTGGCTCATTCAGTTAAGCATCCACCTTCAGCTCATGTCCTGATCTCAGGGTCCTGGGATCAAGTCCCACATCGGGCTCCCTGCTAGGTGGGGAGCCTGCTTCTCCCTCCCTCTGCCTGCTGCTCCCCCTGCTTGTGCTCTCTCCCTCTGACAAATAAATAAAATATTTAAAAATATATTTAAATATAAAACACCTACAACCATTTGTTTGATAAATGTTTGCTGCAATCTTTAAGATTCTGGGGTAATGAAACTGAAGTACAGGCAAGCAGCATCACTCTCACAGTTTTGGGAACTTATCAGTGCAATTCTTTTGGGCTCTAGTACTCCTGGAAAAGTGGTAACAGGAAGCAAAACTGGAGCAGGGGGCCCAGAGTTTCTTTCACCTCAGCCCTATACCCATTCATTTGTCAGGGCCATCGGCTTCTCATTTAGGAACACTGAATTAAGTCGTGAGTTCAACTCTGTACTCATGCGGAAGGAGAGGAAGCAAAGGAAGGAAGGAAAAAAGAGAATAGTATGAATGGTAAGACCAATTCTGGCCAGTATTCTATTCAGTGGGCCAGTACCCTGAATGCAGATGAGACAGCAAGCATGAATCCATTGGTCTCAGTTCCCACAGACCTGGATGAGGTAAGGGACACAAAGCCATGTACACTGTACTCAAAAGCAACTTCAGAGACTTGGGGTTATTTTTTGAGTATTATTTCCATCTCCTCTGCTGACTTCAGGATTTACTTCTGCACAGAATCTCTAAGGCAGAGCTCCACTGCATTTGAACTCATCTGCTCATCATGAAAATGGCTGGACAGAGATGACCCTGAAGGGTCAAGGACAGAAGGCAAGTCTCCTATGGAAAGGAAACTCTCACAACGATTCTTCTATCCCAGCCCCATGGTATTTTAAGCCATTAGATACTCAATGGGGTAACAGGAGGCTATGCTCTGCACCTAAACGGCTCTTGGCCGCTGCCTGGCCGGCATCCCCGCTAAGCAGGCGGAGCTAGTGCCCCCAGGATGTCCCCCAATCCCTTCCCAGACCGGGAACTGTACACTGTACCTTGTCTCCAGGCTGGCGGCCTCCTGAAGCATCTCTTCCGTGACTGTGTCTGTGTTGTAAAACTCTCTGAGCGCCTGCAGCAGTTCCACCTTTCGGTGAGCGGGCAGGCTCTCCGCGTTGAGCAGGGCCCTGGCCCCAGACCGTACCTGCCGGCGCTCAGGATCTTCAAGCAGGCGCAGCCCCTCCTCAGAGCCAATGGGGGCCTGGAATTCCCTGGCCAGCTGCTGCTTCAGGTGGTTGTCATAGTAGTTAGAGACGGCGTGGCAGGAGGTACAGAGCAGCAGCACGTCGTGGGAGTTGTGGTCTTTCATTTCAATGGGGAAATGCTTCCGGTACTCGTGCGGAATCACATTCTTCCTGCCAAGCCCACCCAGAGGCAGTGCTCGTTAGCATCGGACACAGAACACAGGTGGAGCTAGCAGGCAGGCTGCTGGGATTCTCATCTGGGCGTAAACAGGATGGAGAAGCCTCGGGCACCACAACCCAACAGAGACTACATAAAGGCAATACTGCCTCTTCCACTCTTGGCCTACCTACCTACCTGAGCCTTAGTTTCCTCTACCCGAGGAGCAAGTTCATACCACGTGCTAGCAAGAGTCAGCAGAGGGCCAAGGCAGAGGGAGGCTAACAACAACCTTTGCAAACACTGTGCTCCCAGAGAGGAAAAGTATCAGAGAAAAATTCAGAAAAAAAAATTCTAATGACCTTCAACATCTGGAAAATAACTCTCTGAAAGCATGTAGCAGGTCCCTCTACTCCTGAAATTTTGGAAGCCTGGTGACTTAAAAAAAACCAATTTTCTCATCTGAGGAACCCCTTACTCAAACTATTTCCAGGCTCATCAAGGCCCATTGTTATTTTCTAAGGAAAACTGAGCTCTCAGGAAAAACTCTTGGCACAAAACTATTTGTCTCATTTTCTAAGAGGAGAGTAGGAGAGTGAGTTACTCTACTGAAGGCAGGGAGTAGAGCCAACATGTGCCTTCAGGTCATCCAAAAACAGGCATACCTCATTTTACTGCACTTTGCAGATACTGCATTTTTTACAAACTGAAAGTCTGTGGCAACTCTGCATTGGGCAAGTCTGTTGGCCTCATTTTTTTTTCCCCAACAGCATTTGTTCACTTTGTGTCTCTGTGTCACATTTTGGTACCTTTTCCTTATTATTATATTTTTGTGCGGATGTGTGATCACTGTCCTAGGAGTCACTATAGTAACTGATTTGGGAGGCCATGAATCACGCCCACATAAGACTGAGCACTCAATAGATAAATGTGTGTGTTCTGACTGCCTCACCAACCGGCCATTCCTGTGTCTCTCTTCCTCTCCTCTGGCCTCCTTATTCCTTGAGATGAAATAATATTGCTCTCAGGCCAATCAATAACCTACTACAATGGCCTCTAAGTGCTCAAGTGAAAGGAAGAGTGGCATGTCTCCCACTTCAAATCAAAAGCTAGAAATGATTAGGTTTAGTGAGGAAGGCATGTCAAAAGCCAAGACAGACCAAAAGCTAGGCCTCCTGCTCCAGTTAGCCAAGTTTCCTGTGAATGCACAGGAAAAGTTCTCAAGGAAACTAAAAGTGCTGCTCCAGCAAACATGTAAATGCTGTGCAAACAAAACAGCCTTACTGCTGGTATAGAGAAGGGTTTGTGGTCTGGACAGAAGATCACACCAGCCATACAGTTATCTTAAGCCAAAGCCTAATCCAAGCCAAGCCCGAACTCTCTTCAATTCTGTGAAGACTGAGACAGGTGAGGAAGCTGCAGAAGAAAATTCTGAAGCTAGCTGGGGTTGGTTCAAGAAGTTTAAGGAAAGAAACTATCTCCATAAACATCAAAGTACAAGATGAAGCCCCAAGTGCTGATGGAGAAGCTCCAGCGAATTATGCAGAAGATCCAGCTAAGATCATTAATGAAGGTGGCTACACGTAGGAGCAGATTTTCACTGTGGATGAAACAGCCTTCTCTTGCAAGAAGATGCCATCTAGGATTTTCATAGCTAAAGAGAAGTCAAGGGGCGCCTGGGTGGCTCAGTGGGTTAAAGCTTCTGCCTTTGGCTCAGGTCATGATCTCAGGGTCCTGGGATTGAGCCCTGCATCAGGCTCTCTGCTCAGCATGGAGTCTGCTTTCTCCTTTCTCTCTGCCTGCCTCTCTGCCTCCTTGTGATCTCTGTCTGTCAAATAAATAAATAAAATCTTTAAAAAAGAGAGAGAGAGAGAGAAGTCAATGCCTGGCTTCAAAACTTCAAAAGCCAGGCTGACTCTCTTGTTTGGGACTAATGCAGCTGGTGACTTTAAGTTGAACCCAGTGCTCATGGACCACTCCCAAAATCCCAGAGCCCTTCAGAATTATGCTAAATCTACTCTGCTTGTGCTCTCTAAATGGATGACGGCATATCTGTTTACAGCATGGTTTACTGAATATTTTAAGCCCACTGTTGGGACTACTAATCAGGAAAAAAAAATTCCTTTTCAAATATTACTGCTCAGGGCACCTGGATGCCTCAGTCAGTTGAGTGTCTACCTTTGGCTGAGGTCATGATTCCAGGGCTGTGGGACTGAGCCCCACATCAGGCTCCCTGCTATAGAGAGTTGGCTTGTCCCTCACTCACTCTGTGGCCCCCAGCCCCTACTCATGCTCTGTGCTTTCTCTCTCCCTCTCTCAAATAAATAAATAAAATCTTTTTAAAGTAAAATAAAACATTACTGCTCATTGAGAGTGTATCTGGTTACCCAAGAACTCTGATAGAGATGTACAATGAAATTAATGATCTTTTCAGGTCTGCTAACACAACATCCATTCTGCAGCCCATTGATCAAGGAGTAATTTTGATTTTTAAGCCTTATTATTTAAGAAATACTTTTCATAAGGGCTATAGCTACCATAAATAGAGATGCCTCTAATGGATCTTTGCAAAGCAAACTGAAAACCTTCTGGAAAGGATTCACCATTCTAGATGCCATTAAGAATATTCATGATTCATGGGAAGAGGTGAAGATACCAACATTAATTAACAGGAGTCTCTAGCCCTTATGGAGGACTTTGAGGGGTTTAAGACTTTGGTGGAGGATGTAACTACAGATGTGGTGGAAATAGCAAAAGAACTGGAATTAGAAGTGGAGCCTGCAGGTGGGAGTGAATTACTGCAACTGTTTCATCCCACGATAAAACTTACAAGGATGAGGAGTTGCTTCTTGTTGAATGAGCAAAGAAAGAGGTTTCTTGAGATGTGAAGACTACTGAAATGACAACAATGGATTTAAAATATTATATAAACTTAGTTGACTAGACAGTGGTAAAATGTGAGGACTCTCCATTTTGGAAGAAGTTCCGCTGTGGGCAAAATGCTATTAAACAACATCACATGCTACAGGGAAATCCTTCATGAAGAAAAGGTTCATCAGTATAGCAAACTTCACTGTTGACTTATTTTAAGAAACTGCCACAGTCACCACCCTGATCAGTCAGCAGCCATCAACACCATGGCAATAACCTCCCCCAGCAAAAAGATTACAACTCACTGAAAGCTCAGATGTGGTTAGCATTTCTTAGCAATAGAGTATTTTTATTTATTTATTTTTTAAAAAAGTAATCTCTATACCCAACATGGGGCTCGAACTCATGACCCCAAGATCAAAAGTCACATCCTCTACTGGCTGAGCCAGCCAGGCACCCCAGCAGTAAAGTTTTTTTTTTGTTGTTTTGTTTTGTTTTATATAGAGAGTGTGAGGAGGGGGGAAGAGGTAGAGGGAGAGGGAGAGAGAGAGAAGCTCAAGCATGCTCCATGCTCAGCACAGAGCCTGATGTAGGGCTTGAGATCATGATATTGAGATCAAGACCTGAGCCAAAATCAAGAGTCAGATGCTTAACCGACTGAGCCAGTCAGGCGCCCAGCAATAAAGTATTCTTTTTTTTAATGTATATTTATTTATTTATTTATTTGAGAGAGACACAGAGATAGCAAGTGGGGAAGAGAGGGAGAAGCAGGCTCCCTGCTGAGGAAGGAGCCTGACATGGGCCTTGATCCCAGGACCCTGGGATCATGACCTGAGCCAAAGGCAGATGCTTAACCGACTGAGCCACCTAGGCATCCAGCAATAAAATATTCTTAAATGAAAGTATATACATTGTTTTTTTAGACATAACATTACTACACAACTAACAATCCAGAGTATAATATAAACATAATTTTTATATGCACTGGGAAAGCCAGAAAATTCATTTGACTCACATTTTTTTTTTAAAGATTTTATTTATAGGGTGCCTGGGTGGCTTGGTTGTTAAGCATCTGCCTTCAGCTCAGGTCACAATCCTAGGGTCCTGGGATCAAGCCCTGCATCGGGCTTCTTGCTCAGCCGGAAGCCTGCTTCTCCCTCTCCCACTTCCCTTACTTGTGTTCCTGCTCTTGCTGTGTCCATCTCTGTCACATAAATAAATAAAATAAAATAAAATAAAATAAAGATTTTATTTATTTATTTATTTGAAAAAGACAGAGCATGAGTGGGTAGGAGCAGAGGGAGAGAGACAATATTAAGGAGGCTCCATACCCAGCATGGACCCCAATGCGGCTTGATCTCATCACCCTGAGATCATGTCCCAAGCCGAAGTCAAGAGTTGGCCATTTAATTGAGCCATCCAGGCACCCCTAAAGATTTTACTTTTAATTAATCTCAACAGCCAACATGGGTCTTGAACTTACAACCCCAAGATCAAGAGTCGCACACTCCACCGACTAAGCCAGCCAGGCGCCCCTGACTCATCTACTTTATTGCGGTATTTGCTTTATTACGGTGGGCAGGAACCAGACCCGCAATATTGTACTCCATGAACAGTATCAAGGCTCAGAAAGTTGTGAGCCACTCATGGGAGGATTATAAGGACACATAGAGAAAGGCAGCTTCTGAAGGACACGGGTCTCCAGTCTTTCATGAGCAAAGGGAAACCACTTTCTTTATAGCAAACTGTTACTGAGAAAAGTGTTGCATTCTTGAAACCAAGAATGGGGCTCAAGACAGGCAGGAGAGCATGACAACAGGACCATACAGATGGCAGAAATTCTCAGGAGAACTGAGATGACCCCTATGGACATGTCTTCCAGCCGAAACTGGCAGATTCAACCAAGACCCCTGAAGGCTCCACATGTGGCTACAAAGGCAGCTTCCATCAGAGGCAGACAATCTGGGTGGCTGAACCCCACACTCACCGAATGTACGAATCTTTCTTGCCACAGACTACACACAGGTTCTCTTTAACCATCAGGTAATAGTCTCCTGGAGATTCAGGTCTTCCTGCGGGTTCAAACTGCAACTTGACCACAAAAGGCTCCTCACTCACCAGCTCTGAGAGAAAAGATAAGAGACCAGCATTTGCCCACCTGTCCCTCAGGAAGGAAGTCCCACCTGAAATGTTCTCTGCAGTGTCCTGGCAGAGAGCACGATTTTTGGGTTTTGAATAGCCATGTCCCACTTGTCTCAAGGTCGTTCTGCCTTCTTGTGTTCCTCTTGCCCCTTGCCTCTCTGTCTCTCTCCCCACTCCTGCCAATACCCACATGCACCTAAATGCAGATGCAAGAGGACAGGTGAGTCTCACACCTCCAATGCCTTTGTCCAGGTACCACTGAGCTTTCCTTCGGTCACAAGTGCAGAGGGGCTGTCCGTCAGGAGCATGGAGGAAGCAGTTATCATACAGAGGGGATTTTCTGCAGGGAAAGGAGAAATTAATAAAACTGGAAACTACCTATGGATCAAGGTAGCTTGATCCATGTTGTCTTCTGAGTGACTGCTATTCTCAACACTAGGGTCCAATATTGTATTTATGGAAAGAAAACAAATGGGGCAAAAAATCTTGATTGTTCCTCCATCATCATGGGGCTAGGAACTAAAAATGAATTCATTTAGCTAGTTTTTATATTTATGAAACAAGGAGTGAGTTGGGTAATATATATACAACAGCTCTGCTGTGAAAGTGAACAGGAACAGAGCACCAAGAACACTGCTCTACAGAGTAATCATTGGGTTAAACAAAGTAAATTAAAATTAAAGAACTTCAAGCTAAAGTAATGAGGGCCACATGGGTTTATTTCTGGCTCATACGCAATACTGGCTTCAATTTAATCATCCAATTCCTAAAGGCACTCTGCTACAGGGACCAAACTTCCACTCCAAAGCACTTATTAGTCATCTTTCTGCAACAGAGGCGTTAAGTTGTACAGAAAAACTCTCACTGGTTAGAGAATAATATTGGCTTAGAGCTGGATGCCTTTCTAAATAATCAAATACCAAATGAACAGGAAATCAGATGATGCATTTCTCCTGAAATGTATGAGGCAATTCATGCTATTCATTTTCACAGCTATCCTGAGCAAGCAAAGAGTAATAATTATACCCTCATTTATAACTGGAGAAGTTACAGGGCTCAAATTGTACCAGGATCAGCGACAAAGCTAGGTTAAGCTCTCCTTATGGGCACTCAATTCTAAAAATTAGAAAGTAAAAGAAGGGGAAAAGGAGGAAAACACATAAATAGACCAAAGGTTAGCTCTAAATGTCCTTGAGGGAAAGGAAAAAAAAAAAAAATTAACCCCTGGGGGGGAAAAATTAATCCCTTGAGCACCTGTCGTCCTACCACACAATCTTCTTCCCAGACCTAAGATGAGGCATCATGCCTTTGGCTGGAGGCTGGGCCTCTGCATCTCTCTCTACCAGACAGAGAACAACTCAGTTACCTGGCTGAATAGCCCACCCCCAGGGGCTTTCTTTTATGCTTTCTGGGGTCTTTCCCTTGGTGGTTGCCTGGCGTCATTCCATCTGTCTTAGACTTCTTATTTCTTGGCTTCTGCTGAGCTTCTGCTGCTTCCCCATTAACCTCTTCCCCCAGTCGGCTGAGTCCTTTGCTTCGGAATGGGATGTCTACCATATCCTGGCAATTTTCCAAGACTTTTCTCCAACCCACATGGTCATCGTTTTCGTCTACAGTTGAATTCCTAGAGAAAGGGTATCCAAGAAGATGGAGAAAGAGAGCCACTGAAATCTGGGCATCCCTGGCAGCATAAATCACCTGAAGAGAAAAGTCAGAGATCAGTGGAATCTGGAAGGCACACCAGAGAGAGCAATTTCCAAGTCAGTCACAAAGACACAGACAACCTTCAGGATTCTAATTCAAGATATACAATACCTGAAGCACTGTGTACTTCTTAAAAACCTTTTATGATGAAATATTTTGTACTATATGAAAGTAAACTGAATAGTATAATGAATCTTCATGTTTCTTGTCTATGTTTATAACTAAAATAGCTAAAATAATGACTTACTTTGAATATTCAAAAATCCTAACCTATACAAACCAGTGAAGTTTCTTTCTCTTTGTTACCAAACCTGATAGACAGACTTTTCTCAAGTTTGGGTAAGGGCAGTCCCCACAAGTGTGACAACTAGTCCATGAAATTCACTTTGGAGGTGGCCATCATCTAGACCACCTGAAAACAAGATTCACTGAGAGGTCTGTGTAATTGCCAATCAGAAACAACCTGCCATACCTATTAATAAGATGTGGAAAACAAACAGGTTTCAAGCATGGGCCTCAAGTCAAAAGTCACAAGGGCTCATTTCTGAAATGAATAAATTTCAGATTATATGGTATAATCTACCATAATAATAACGGTAAGTCACTCTCCCAAACAACTTGACAGGAAAGCTGGTCATAAATAAAAGTAGCCAAGACTATCATTAAGAGCTTTTCCCAAAAAAGGGAGTAAAGACTTTAAAATTCCTTTAATTTACCTTTAGTAACCAAGCCTGGTAAATAATACTATTAGGAAGGATTTATTATGCTTTTAGAATAAAACAGGTTTGGATAAAATTTTCCATCTAGACTCAACAATCTATACATCTACCACCCGGCTATCTCCCACTGGAAAAAACTGTGTTTGAATGTGAAGAGTTTAAAGTGTTTTCTAGGGGCACCTGGGTGGCTCAGTCAGTTAAACGTCTGCTTTCAGCTCAGGTCATGATCCCAGGGTCCTAGGATCGAGCCCCACATTGGGCTCCCTGCTCTGCGGGAACATGCCTCTCCTCCTGCTCATTCTCTCTCTCTCACTCTCTCTCTCACATAAATAAATTTTTCTTTTAAAGTGCTCTTTTAACAAACTGTTTTCAAATGATAAGGAAACCAAGGTACTTTCAACAGAAGCTGTTGAGACAACTGGATGACCACATGTGAAAGAATGAAGTTGGACCCCTACCTTATATCACACACAAAAATGAACTCAAAATGGGTCATAAACCTAAATGTAAGAGCTAAAACCTAAGACTCGTAAATGAAAACATAGGAGTAAATGTTCATCACCTTGAGGTAGGCAATGATTTCTTGGATACAACACCAAAAGTGTAAGTGATAAGCGAAAAAATAGATTAACTGGGTATCATCAAAATTAAAACCTTTTTTGCTTCAAATGATGATCTCAGTCAAATAAGTGAAAAAACCACCTGAAGAATGGGAGGAAATATTTACACATTATATACCTAATAAGGGACAAGCGTTCAAAATATATGAAGAACTCTTAGAAGTCAACAGTATAAAAACAACTCAATTAAAATATGAGCAAAAGGGGCGCCTGGGTGGCTCAGTCATTAAGTATCTGCCTTTGGCTCAGGTCATGATCCTGGGGTCCTGGGATCAAGCCCCACATCAGGCTCCCTGCTCAGCAGGCAGCCTGCTACTCCCTCTCCCACTTCCCCTGTTTGTGTTCCCTCTCTCGTTGTATCTCTCTCTGTCAAATAAATAAAATCTTTAAAAATAAAATAAAACATGAGCAAAGGATCTGAATAGATGTTTCTCCAAAGAAAATATATAAACAGTCAACAAGCACATGAAAAGATGTTCAGCATCATTAGCCACTAGGGAAACGTAAATCAAAACCACAATCAAATACTATTTCATACTTACTAGGATGGCTCTAATCAAAAAGATAGACAATAACAAGAGTTGGTGAGGATGTGGAAAATTCGAATCTTTATATATTATTGGTAAGAATATAAAATGGTGCAGCTACTTTGCAAAACAGTCTGGCAGTTCCTTAAACAGTTAAACATAAAGGTTATGACTCAGCAATTCCACTCCTAGGTATATATCCAAGATAAGTAAAAACATATGACATATGTCCACATAAAATTTTATACACAAATATTCATAGTGGCATTTTTCATAACAGCCAAAAAATGAAAGCCATCCAAAACTCCACCAATTGATGAACGGATAAATAAAATGTAGTATATCCATACAATGGACTATTGCATAACAATAAAAACAAATGAACTACCAATAAATGTTATAACATGAATGAACCATAACAACATGCAAAATTAAGAAGCCAATCACAAAAGACCATATATTATATGGTTCCATTTATATGAAATGTCCAAAATAGACAAATCTATAAAGACAAAACTTAGATTAGTGATTGCCTAGTGTTAAGGTGTTGTGGCAGGGGATAGGAAGTGACTGTAGGATGGGGAGTGACTGTTAATCACTACGGAGTTTCTTTCTGGGGTGATAAAAATGTTCTAAAATTAGATAGTGATGATGATTGCACAACTCTATAAAAATACTAAAATCCATTGATTTGTACACTTTTTTTTTTTTTAAGTGGGCTCCAAGTCCAACATGAGGTTTGAACTCAGGACCCTGAGATGAAGAGTCACATGCTCTACAGACTGGGCCAGCCAGGTACCCTGATCTGTGTACTTTAAATGTCTGAATGTTATTGTATGTAAGTGATACCTCAATGAAACGGCTAAAAGAAACAAACCAACCAACCAAGGCGCGAAGAAGTGACTTACTCCTAGTCACAGAAAGTCAGAAATAGCTGCAGAAAACAAATTCAGAGAATCTGACTCCCAAAACTCTCTTACAGGATAATGTTAACCTCAAGATACCAGCTAAATCTTTCCAATAACAACATTTTGGAAGGATGAACAAGTGGTGACCAACTCAGCAAACAAGAGAAGGCTAAAATCTAGGCCTATGGGGGTGGTAAGCCAAAAATCCAAGAATCAAGTCAATGTGAGCCACAGAGAATGGCAGAGCATTAGGAATGGGAAGCACCAGGTGCTTCTGTGAAAGTAAGTACAAGCAGGGGTGAAAACAAGAAGATAAGGTGAAAGCTTCCATAAAGAACACTTAGGACTCTAGACCCTCTCCTTTATACCCCAGGGGTGGCAATGACTCCTTCTCTAATCCCAGAAGAGCAAAAGTTTAAGTCATATAATGGCTGACTCACAGAGGATCTGGATCTAGTAACACCAGGCCTGGCGCAGGGTGGGGGCAAAGTGTCACCTGGAAAAGGGATTATGGGAAAGTGTACATATGGCTTGGTGAAACTACCAACACCTTTCCCCACTCAGCAACCAGAATATAAGCAGAGGGGCTTATACCTCTTGGGCAGAAGACTAGATGATTCATCTCTGGAGAAACTGAGTAGCCTGAGGAAAAAAGAGTTTCAGTTACTGACATGTGACTGTAATCTATAGGTATTGATAATAACGTCCAGTGGTCCAAAAGCCCTGGCTCTATTTGCTATGTTCTCAACCCATTTCTGAAAATTCAAATTTAAACATGATTTTCCGTATTTTCTAAAATCTCATTAAGCATTATGTTTATAATTAGAATGAAATAAACAATAAACATTATTGAAATAAAGAATAACAGGGGCACCTGGATGGCTCAGTAGAAAGAACGTGCAACCCTTGATCTTGGGATTGCGAGTTCGAGTCGCATGCCGGGTGTAGAGGTTACTAAAGAAAATAAATAAACTTAAAAAATTAAAAAAAAAAAAAGAATGAGTCAGAGTCTTTAGGAATTCTGAATTCTCACAATAATAGGGATCACAAATCTGGCTTTAAGATTGGTAGCAATTACCTTTTCCTCCCCAACTTTTTATTTTAAGAGTTTTCAGACCCACAGAAAAAGTTAAAGAAGCATAACGCCAACTGACATTCACAATTGTCAATGTTTGCTTTATCACTTTATAATATGGACACCACACACTTTTTTTTTGCCTGAACACATTTCAAAATTAAGTTGCGGCGACTATGATACTTCATCTCTAAATGCGTCAGCATGTACTTCTTAAGAACAAGGACATTCTTCTACATGGCCTCATGATTACCACACCCAAGAGCTTTAGAAGTGACAAAGTACAATGATACACAGTTCTATTCGAATGTCTTTTCAGATGGTGCAAGATTCTGGATTTTTAGTAAACTTCTAGAACTGCACAACCCATCACCACAAGCAATGTTAGAAAAACTTCACCTCAAAAAGAAACCTAATACCCTGTAGCAGTCATCCTCGACGTCTCTCAGCCCTAGGCAACCATTAATTTATGTTGTCTCTATAGATTTATATATTCTGAACATTTCATAAAAATAGAATCTGATGTGATATTTTCCAACTGGCTTTTTTTCACTCAGCATAATGTTTCCAAGATGCATCCATGCATGTACCATGTGTCCTTTGTATTTCTGAAAAATACTCCATTGTAAGGCTATACCACATTTTACTTATTCATTCAATAGTTGATGAGCCCAATCAACTTTTTAGGGTGTCTTTAAATATGAATGGACAGCCAAGGATCTAAACATTTAAGAAAAATATTTCATGTGAAAGACAAAGACCAAATCAAACATTTCAAATAAGGAACTCAGAGGAAAATGAAGCAATACAGGAAGAAGAAAACCTCAGAAATCTTTAATACTCAAAGATAACAGAAGTTACTGTATCTCTTATACAAAAACAAAGTTATTTTAAAAGCGAATATTCAGAGGAGACCAAGAATCTCTTGTAACTTACAATTATGATAGGAATAATTAAAAATTCAATAGAAATGTTAGAAGACAAACTTGGGGAAATTTCTCAGAAGAACACAAAAAACACAAAGAGAGAAAATATTTTTCTTAGGAAATCAGAGAATCAATTCAAGGGGATCCAACATCTAAATAATATGAGTTCTAAAAACAAAAGGGAGGGAAATTTTCAAAGAAATATTATGAGAATAATTCTCTTAACTGAAAGATAGATTGAAAGGGTCCACTGGCTTCTAATACTAAAATGGAAGATAGCCCACGCTAATGTATACCATCATGAATTTTAAGAACTAAGAATAAAGTGAAGATTCTTCAAAAAGAAAAACAAGTGACATGCTCAGTATCAATACCAGAAGCTCTAAGACAGGGAACATTACCTTTGAAGTTCTGAAGGAAAATGACTTTCACCCTAAACAGCCGTACTCAGCAAAAATATCAGTTCACAGACAGGCAAGCCAATATCTTTTCAGACATGAAGGGTGTCACAAATGAACTTCCTATGCTCCCTCTCTTAATGTACTCCAAGACAAGAAAGGGAAAAGACATGGAATTTGCAAGACAGAGGATCTACTCCAGAAGAAAGGTGATAGGACTCCCTAGGCTGATGGTGAATGCAGATTCCAGGGTCAGAGCTGGGCAGCAGCTCTGGAAGCAGGATGACGAAGGACTCTGTCTGGAAGGGAGGGCTCCCAGGGAAAACAAAAGGAGTAAGTCACCTCACGTGTCTGAACCGGCCAAGAAAAGATATAGGGTTCCATTAAAGAGTCCGGGCTTAAAACAGTTAATAGGTAGATAGAAAACAAAGCAAACAGCTTTTTGGCCACCAATCTGCTTTGTGTGGCTCTTGCCATGTTTTCTCATAAGACTTTCAGAAATAAGTGATTCCCGGCCAAGAAACAAAAGCAGAATCGTCCCATTCCCCAGTGGATTTGGCTGAAAACTGGTAATAAAATCAGGTACAACTCCAAGAGGAGGCACTGAAGAAGAACCAGGCTGGGTCTAGAAGGCGTCACACATCATGAGGTGGCACACCTAGTTGGCACCACATATTTAATTAAGCTGCATGAAGACCATGTGTTCTATCCTGTCATGGCCGACAGACATGTTTTAGCAGGGAAATGATTTTTCTCTGTTATTATGCCTCTGCACCAGTAGGCTGGTTCAGTAATAAACGTGAGAGTTTTCAGCTCTACTGCTACTGCACTTCTGATTTGTGAAGTACTGAATTCCCCCTCCTGTCAGTTCACACATAGCACTGTCCTACAGAACTTTCTGCAGCGACAGAAATACACCCTTGACAACCAAGTATGTAAAATGTGGCTAGGGGGCGCCTGGGAGGCTCAGTTCCTTAAGTCTGCCTTAGGCTCAGGTTATGATGTCAGGAGTCTTGGGATCAGGGTCCCCAGTGAGCGGGGTATCTCCTTGTCCCTTGCCCTTCCCCCTACTTGTGCTCTCTCTTTCTCAAATAAATAAATAAAATCTTAAAAAAGAAAAAAAAAAAGAAAGCAAACAAAAGTACAAATTATTACTCACAAGAAAACAAAAAGCTATATAAGAAAAAAACTGTAGCTTCCTATGTGGCTCAGCTATAAATAATATCAATATAAGTAGATACTAATCTGATAAAAATGATGATTTACCTATATTGGGAAGATATGGAGGGGAAAAAATATTTGTCTGGGGACAGAGGAATTACAAGAGTACTAAATCATGTCTTCCATTGTAAGAAGTCAAAAGATAATATGAAAAATAATAAAGAGTAATATATGCATGTAATTTAAAAATATAATGGTAATTACCAGGAAGAAATGAAATTGGTTACCACTGAGTGGGAGGAAGACAGAGAACCACTAACTGTTTCTTATAATAAGTCTTATAACACTCTGGTTTTCTAATTACGCATTTGTGTTCATAATAAAAAATTACATTTTCTGAAATGCCTGGCATATAGTAACTGCTCAAAAATATAAAACACAATAGGGATTCTTACTCTGTTACTTAAGTACCATTTATAAACCAGGGACCAGTTATCTTCAGTGAGTCTCTTCTCAGGTATTTCCACCCAATACTTATACTTGAAGATTACAATTACAAGAACAACTATACTTCACAAGCAATGGCTCTTCCATTCTTCAACTACCCTGACAAGAAGTACCTGGTCCTCAGTAAGATTCTCGGCATCCCAGTTGCTGCAACGAAGCAGGAGGGACTTGTCAAGTGGAAAGTTCAAAACCGTCTCAGCAAGTGATTTCAGGCTTAGCCCATTACAGAGCAAATTGTTTCTGCAAGAAATAAGTAAGTTGTGTATCAAAAATGTGCAAAAGAAGAACAGGCAAATCAAAAAAGACATTTACAATACGGGGCGCCTGGGTGGCTCAGTGGATTGAGCCTCTGATCACGATCTGGTCATGATCTCAGGGTCCTGGGATCGAGCCCGGCATCGGGCTCTCCGCTCAGCGGGGAGCCTGCTTCCCCCACCCCCCCGCCTGTCTCTCTGCCTACTTGTGATCTCTGCAAATAAATAGATAAAAATCTTTAAAAATATATATGAAGAAAGAAAGAAATGGCCAATACACAGATAGACGGCAGACACTCAAACTCACTAGACATCAAACAAAATAAAATAAAAATTATAAATAATTTGTTTATCAGCCTGCAGATTTAAAAAAACAACTACATCTACTATTGTTGGAGCATGAAGAATCAGTCTAATCTAAAATTCATGAACTGTCCATTTTTACAAGCTTTACAGAAAATAGTTTAACAATAAAGAGCTTTCAAAATTTTGAACATGAAAATTCTCTGATTCATGAATTCCACTTCTAGGAATTTATCCTATGGACAAATGTGCATAAGATGATCTTCACTGCAGCACCATTTATATAGGAGCAAAGAATTGGAAACAACCTAAATGTCCATCAACAAAAGGCTAGTTAAATATCTCTGCAATTAAATTCCATACAGCTATTAAAAATAAGGATGTGGATGGGGGCGCCTGGGTGGCTGAGTCAGTTAAGCATCTGACTCCTGGTTTTGGCTCGGGTCATGATCTCATGAGTCCTGGGATGCAGACCTGCAGGGTCACTGCCCTGCTCAGCGGGCAGTCCACATGCTGATTCTCTCCCTCTGCTCCTGCGCCCCACTCACCTGAGTGCTCCCTCTTTCTCTCTCTCCAATAAATAAATAAATCTTTAGAAAAAAAATAAGGATGTAGATCTATACTGATATGAAAAGATATCCATGACATATTCGTTAAGTAAAAAGAGACTGTGGGAGAAAACATATGTTGTGGTCCCTTTATGTTAATATATATACCACGTTCCAGATGTATGTGTGTGAGTCTAGGTATGAGAGAGACAAAGCACAGAGATAACTAGAAAGATATCAATCATATGTTCATGATATTATCTCTGGGTATGGGACTTATGGTGATTATCTATCTTCTTTACATGTTTCTTTATTTGCATTGGCTAGTATTCATGTAATTACTTCTCAAATTTGAAAAAATGGTAATGGCATTTTCATTGAGCAGGTGAAGGTACAAAAAAACCTAAATAATCTTTCTGTCCTTCAAATACTTTCTGATTAAAATAGCTGCAGGGTGGCAGAAAAAAATTAATTTATCCAAGGTTTGGAGACTCCAAACAAGAAATAAATGTGAAATTAGGAACACATTGGTCTACACAAGTGGTGCTAACTTCCTGGCTACCAAGTGAAAGACTAGAAGTTTTAGAGCAGGAGACTTGGAGGTGGGGTTATGGTAAGCAGGACTCCCTCAGGAACCGTAGGAAATGAAATAATTATAATGATGAAAAAAAGGAAGTCTTTTCCTACAAAAACCAGCAGTAATTGATGGATTTCATTATCCCCAAAAGGCACCACTGACTAAAAAGTAGAAACAGGTCCAGACATACTTAGGGAAAAATACATAATGTCTTCGTTCAATTAAGTGAAAATTAAGGCTTTGGGAGACATAAAATCTCTTTTGTTTTGTTGGAAACTATAAAAGTAATGAATGCTTATTATTAAAAGTACAGACAACAGAAAAGCATCACAGGTGGAAAGTAAAAGCCTATCACCTCATACTTCCACTCCTTGGGAATACTGACTCTTACAGTAGGCTGTGGCCGCTCCAGACCTTTTCTATGCACAGACAGATGGTTAAGCGGAGGAGGAGATAACATGTTTTTGGCATTTGTTCTGTTTTTTGCCCTACAACTTGCTTTATTACTTAATATATCAGAGACTTCCATCCATGATGATAAGTATAAATGTACTTATTTCATTCTTCTTAATAGCTGTGTAATTTTTCAAGCATGGCTATTCCATAATTCTTGAAATCATTACCCCCGGCGAAGGACAGTACTTAATTTTCAAGCTACTTTATTCCATTTAGGTCATTAGTCCTTTTTTAAACGTCATCTATGGAAAGGTTGTGCATTTCTTGAGGATTAATTAAAGACAAGAGGCCATCTTTGCCATTTCAAATTTTCACTAGGAAAGATTCCAAAGTCATATACAACAATCTCTACAGTAAATCATCTCTGATTAACATTTAACACAAAAGATAAAGAGTGAGAGCTGAACACAGCAGTACACTGCACTGTCTCTGTGGGACACACTCAAAGTGCTTCACGCAGTTTAACTCTTGAGATCCTCACACCAATCCTGGGAGGTGAGAACCTAATTATTGCCGCAGAGGGAAGTGAGGAACAGCCACTGCCCAGCCCACTCCAGGGTCAACTCTTAGCTCCTATACCCACCGCCTCTAACAGCAGAGAGGGACAGCAGACACCTCGGGGGAAGTGGTGCCTTGGGAGGGTGGGGCGGAGGGAGGCCTGGCGAGAGGTGGCTGCTGGGGTGACACTCCAAATACTTTCACAGATTTAAAATCCTTTACAGTAAGTATGTTGATGTATTTCTTGAAAACTTGATGCTTACAAGAGTTGTATTTACATAAGCCAAACTACTAAGCTAAAATAAAATTCCATTTTATACTAAAAAAATGACAAGATGAGATTTTAATCAGGACTTCTCTTACTTTATCATATCCTCCCAACTTTCAATGTCTGGCATTTGAGGCAGGGAGAGAGGCTACCTCACTCCACTTTATTAAAATGAGGACACCCACCCACGCACACACTCAAACATATGAAGGTCATTGCCAATCCCTGAAAAACAAGTTAGAATAGAATTTCCATAAGAATAGAATTAGTCTGTCACTGCTTTTAGCCTAAAGCAGGGTTTGCAAACTCCAGTGTCTATCTGGAGGAGTTGGGGTTACAATGAATGGCAGAGGTGAGGACTGTGGCGATTAAACAGAGCATGGGCATCTAAGGAGGCCAACCGCTCCCTAGCAACCATTTCCATCTAGAACCCCTGAACCTCACTTAGTCAAATCATCTGATTTTTCAAAAGCCCCAAATACAGACTTTTACATTAAATCTTCTGGATTTAAACCAGAAATTCCCAAAAATATCATGGCGGGGGGAGGGGGTACGGAAAAAGCAAAAGCATGGGGAACCTGGGTGGCTCAGTCGGTTGGGTGGCTGCCTTCGGCTCAGGTCATGAGCCCAGGGTCCTGGGATCAAGTCCTGCATCGGGCTCCCTGCTCAGCGGGAAGCCAGCTTCCCTCTCCCCTCTGTCTGCTGCTCTGCCTACTTGTGATCTCTCTTTCTCTGTCAAATAAATAAATTAATTAATTAAAAAAAAAAAAGCAAAAGCAAAACATGAAGCCCTGATTTAGCCACTGGTGCAATCAGTTTTCCAACCTGTAGCTTATGGAGACACCTTATCCACGTTTCTCCTACACAGACCAAACCTAGGTAAAGT